GATTTCCCTGCTGCTCCTGCTGCTGTGGTGGTGCTAGATATTGTTGCCGAGGCAACCCTGGTTGCGCTACGTACGGTGGCGGGAGACTTCTATTAGGCTCTCTTTGCTGCTGCGGCTGGCATTCTTGCTGCTGCCATTTTTGATTTCTCTGCTGCTCCTGCTGCTGTGGTGGTGCTAGATATTGTTGCCGAGGCAACCCTGGTTGCGCTACGTACGGTGGCGGGAGACTTCTATTAGGCTCTCTTTGCTGCTGCGGCTGCTGCTGCTGCTGCAATTGCAGTTCGGCCAACTTCCGCACCACCTCACTTCCATCTCCCTTCGGCTGCGGGAAGTGGAACACGGCCCGTTGCTGATTCTGCAGCCGCTGTTCTTGACGAGCGATCTCCTGCTGAACCCGCAGCTTCTCCTGCGCAAGCTCCTCCTGCAACTGCAGCTGCCGCAGCGAAGGCGCGGGCGACTGTCGCGGAACCCCTGCCGCCCTCGCCGTCCCCCAGGCAGAGTCCGGGTTTCCCAGCCGTCCGTACAGGTCCACTTCAGCCGGCGGAGGCTGCGATCGCGCGTCCGGGCCCGCTGGCCTGTTCCCTTCGAGCCCAACTGGAATTGGGGCGCCCGCGGGCCTAGGGCCTCCCACCGCACCTGCCCGCTCATGCGGCAGCGGCGCCTGTGGCTCCTGCCACGGTGGTTGCATTTCTTGCGGCGGCGGGCGCTGAGTTCGCCGCACAGAGGAGGAGTTGAGCGTGTACATCGGCATCGCGCCGCGGCGGCTCCTCAGCTGCGTTCTCCTCGCGCCCCGTCAGTGACGCGGCCGCCCGGGCACGGGGGGAGGGGGCGGCGGATGTCTAAGCGCTGCCTGCGTGTACTGCTGCTCCCCGCGCTTGCTGCGCTCCGTCTCTCCTCCCTCGCTTCAAGCAATCGTCCTCCGCGAGACGGCAAGACTGCAGGTGCGGCAAGAGAAAAAAAAAAAAGAATTTAAAATAAACGAAAAGAGAAAAGAAAAAAGAGAGGATGGCAGTGCAGAAGAAGAACAGTCAAAGAAATGGCGGGGTGCCGCGGCGGCTCCGCACACACGTGCAGCAGCAGCAGCAGCAGCAGCAGCCGCCGCGAAAAAAAAAAGAGTCCACAAAGAGGGCAGCCGGGCGAACGCACATGCATGCCGCGCGCACGCGCCAGCAAATAACATCCCCCACACCCTTCGCCACTAACCGCAGGCCAGCCACACCGGGACAACGTTGTGGAAGTGAATCACAGGCAAAAAGTCCAGAAACAGTCAAACAAATACAAAAAAAAAGCACACACACTCACGAAACAAAAACAAAAGGAAAAATGTCACACGCGGTTTAAATTTCAAAGCTTCGTTGTTTGTTGCCGCTGCTGTTGCGCGCGGGTGTGTCGCACGGGCGCGCGCGCGCACGCGGACAGAGGGACAACGCATACAAAGAGGAATTGCAGTGCGCAATCGCCTTGGTGGTAAGAACAGAGAGTAGTGAAGCGGGGTCCACCTCACAATGATCGGCTGTGAGAAGCAAAAAAAAAAAAAAACAAATCCTCGCAGAGGCACACGCGAGGGGTGGAGCGCACAAGTAGACGCATGCCCGCTAGCTTCACACGAGGGGAAGTCTGTGCATTCCCAGACACCCCCGCTCCGCCGCCGTCGCCCGCCCCCTCAAACACGGCACGGAAAGACAAAAAAAAAACGCAGGCCAACCAGAGAAAAGACCCACGTCAAGCGGCAAATAAGTTTTCAAAAAGCACCGCTTCCCATTATTTTACTTTATTACATATATAATATTGTAGTGTGTATGTGTGTGCCCTTGCCTTCGCGCCTCCTACTCCTCTACTTGCCGGGTTTTAAAGACAACTTCTACACCCCCGCCCACTCCAGTTATTCCGTCCGTTCACTCCAGAAAGTTTCACTGGGCCATGGATATTTCTTGCACAAAACTTTCTGTGAGGCGGGCGATTGCCGCCTTTGCTTCCTCCGCCGTCGCGCCTTGGGCCACCATCCAGGCGAGGAGGTAGAAGTTCTTTGGCGGAGGCGCCACCAGCTCCCCTGGCACGGCAGACACGCTGTAGTCTACAAGTGCCTTTTCAGATGTGGGCACCTCCGCCCGCACCAGCGCCCCTTCGGCGCGAGGATATATGTTCACGGAGGCACAGTAGCAACTCGCCGGGAAGGAGGCGTCGTCGCCGTCCACCTCCGTTAGCCGCTCCGGGTAGTGGGAGAGCAGCTGCTCGGTCACTGAGAGCCCCAGCGCGCAGCGCACGAGGGACTCGCCCAGCTGCAGCCCACGGTAGCAAGTGCGCAGCATGCTGTTCGTCTCGGCGCTCCCGAGGCGGCAATTCACCTCGATTAGGTACGTCTGGCGTCGCTCAAAGTCGTACTTCGCCTCAAAGTGCAGCACCCCATGCAGGTCTTCGCCATGGAATGCCACGAATGTGTCCAGCAGATCCCGCAGTCGGCTTTGCTCGTGGGGTGGCAAGGCGGTGGGGCACAGCCCACCCACCTCGACAAAGTACGGCGGACACACCTCAAAGTTGTCGTCGATAGAGCAGAACACAACCTTGCCGTTTTCTACGCAACAGTTCAAATCCACCTCCTGGCCGCCAATGTACTCCTCGAAGAGTATCTGCACCTCCTCCTTCTCCCCTGTCGGACTGAGAACAGCCTCAAAGTGCTTCGTGGCATTGTGCGAGGCGAAGGCGTTCCACATCACCAGCGCATGGTCCCGCACCTCCTCCGCACTGGAACAGAGTTTTGCGAGGAGGCTCCCGGCGCCGGGGGAGGGCTTTAGCACAAGGGGGAACTCAACCCCCACCGCCGCCAACACACGTCGAACGTGCGCCAGTAGGTCGACCTCGCCCGCTGGAGGGCGAGGCAAGACCCCCGCCAGCGGCGAGGTGATGCCCTCTCTCGCGCAGTCCTCGCGAAGGAGAGACTTTACGTTTGTTCGCCGCAGCTTCTCTGGCGGCAGTGGGACGGGCCGAAACCCCATGCGCTGCGCCAACACGGCTGCTGGGTAGACACCGTACTCATCAAACGATATAACGGCGTCCGGCGAGAGTTCATGCAGGCTAAGAAAACGCCCAAGCACGGGCTCAAGCGCGTCCACGTCATTTGTGTCGTGCAGCAGATGATAATGAAAGACACCGTCGAACGCGACTGCCGGATGTACGGGGTGGACGAGCACGAGAACAACACCCTTGTCCCGGAGATGCCTGTAGACGGGGGCCCGGGCGACGCTGCTCGTGCGGAGCAGCACCACAACCTTTCCCTCCATGCCTTCTCTTCCGCTCCTCTTGAGCCCTGTCCCTTTTTCTCCCTCCTTCGCTTAGCAACGGTCGTGGCACGCGCACGCGCAGCCGCCCCCGCAAGGAGCCCAAACTAAACAATAGATGGGGGAAAAAAAAACAAAGCATACAAACAGAGAAACCGCTCTGCACGACGTCCGCCGGGCGAGATTGCCCGATGCCTCCCCCACACTGCAATGATGCAAAACAAAAACGCGGCGGCAGGTGGTATAACTCGCCCTGTGGCAGACGCAAGAATCACATGAGCTACGAAAAGAGAGAGAGAGAGAGAGAGAGGCACACACACAGAAACAAAAAAAACACGGCGAGGAGGAGTTGCATGGGGAAACAGACAACTAACTTGGAACTAGCACTTCTCCTGTGAAGAACGACGCATCGTTGGCGCCTCCCCACCCCCTCCCCCCAATACGACCATAAATATTTATATATATATATATATTTCTCTGCCGTACGGGGCGCGGATGCTTCGACCGGGCGCGACGCCAACCGCACGGAGGCGGTGCCGCCCGGCCTCTCCACACGCCTCTCCCCCGCGCGTGCGAGAACCAGGGGAGAGCAGGTGGGTGGGGCCGCCGCAGCCGCCACACGGACGGCGGAAGCAAGCAAAGCGGCAAGCAAACAAGACGAGCGGATGTCAAACAACGCAAGAAGTTGGTGAAGAGGAAGAGGAGGGGAAAGCGGGGAAGGTAAAAAAAAAAAAACACTGGCGGCAGAAACTGGAAGCAAAAAACAACAACAACAACAAAACAAGAAATAAAAGAGGAAGAAAAAAAAAAGCGCATTCGTGTACACAAAGAGAAGCACTGCAGTGCGTCTATAGATGGAGACGCGTAGAATCCGTGTGGGTTGCCCCGTGGGTGAACTCTAGCAGACGTCACAAACTAGTGCCTCCGCAGAAAACTCTGGCATTTCCCTCTCTCTGTCGTCAATACATATACATACATGAAGGGCCGCCCACACATAAACGCACGCAGACGCACATGAAGAAAGCAAAAAAAAACAAAACCAAAACTGAAGAGCGACAGCACCTGTGTTTCGCCAGCTGCCGCAATTTCCCACGCGGTCTTTTCCTTCTTTTCTTTGCTTTTTTTTTTCTCCCCGTCACTGTCAGGCATTCTTCCGTCGCTTTCCCTTAAAAAGTTTCTTCTCCTGCAGGTATAACTCAGGGGCAACCATGTTGCGCATCCCGCACATCACCTCAATTGTCCCGCGCATAAACCCATCAACCACCACGGGAGCCGCCAGCGGCAGCCGCACGGGGCTCCCGTGCGGTCCCATGCAATACGCGGCGACGTTCGAGGCCAGGCGAAGCCCCTGCAGAAGCTCCGCGAAGCCACGTTGCAAACCCTCTAGGAGGCCCACCGGCTGCGACCCACGTGACATGGGCGGCAACTCACCCCCCGGCAGGAAGGAAGTAATCATGGAGGAGGTGGCGCCGTGCACCCGTCGCGACACCAGCACCGCACTGTTGAGGGACTGCGAGACGAGCGTAAAGAGAAACATGCGAAGAGCCGTTGAGAGGGCAGAGAAAAAACGCTTGTTGCGACGGTACTCACTAAGCGGTGCAAAAAGAATCTCCACACCCGCCGACCCAACGTTGGACGCCAGCTGCAGCGGCTGCACACTGCAGAGAAGCATGAAAAAGCCGTTGAAGTTGAGTAGCTGGTCCCGCATGAGGCTTAGCATGCGCTCCCCGACGCCACTCAGCGGACAGGCCGTGACGAGCATGAAAGGCACCTGCACCTGCGCCCGCTCAATGGAGGGCAAAAGGAAGTTGCTGAGTTCGAACCTATCCATGCGCGTGGCTCGGGAAAGGTCCTGCCCCTCAAAGTAGACGTAGAGTGTCAGTTGCAACGGAAACACAACGATCTTGCTGAAGAAGAGCGTCTGAGACGACACCTCGTCCATGTCGTTGTCGTCGCTCGACAAACTTTCCGGGTCTCCAATAAACTCCGACAACAAATTCATGGCACGTCGATGCACGGCCACAGTAACGGGCTGCAGCCGCACAATGAGCTGTTCCTCCGGTTTCCCCACCACCACCACACCGGCGTTGCGCGACGACGACCGCGGCACAACCGTCGTCCACTTCAGCTCAAACAAATCGCCGCCGTGGTCACGAAGAAACTGCGGCAGGGAGGCCATGAATAACGTGCGCACAGAACTCTTTTCAATGCAGTCCACCACCTCGCCGTCTCGCACGGAGAGGTACACCTGCAGGAAGTTTGCCTTTCCAGGCACAAGCATGTCCACTTGGAGCCGGATGCCGGTGAAGCGGCCAACCACGTACTCGTCCTGTCGCCGCCCAACGCCGTGGAAGCCGCTTCGCCGTCCCTCACGCCTACCTTTGTTAAGCTCCACATCGGAGCTCATCCCACTCCACAGCGCCGACGATCCCTGCCGCACCTTCTCCTCCATGTTGCCAAAGCGCTGTATGGTGTGGAGATAACTCTGCGGCACATCGAAGTGGACAAAATCCTCGCCCCCGTACAAATGGGCATTGAGGTCGCAGTCGTAGAGGGAAATCTCAACTGCCACCGCGCTGTTGGGCGGCAGAGAGCGTGAGACGCACCTATGGTTCTGCGCATACTCCGGCAAACCCCCACAACAGGCCCCATACACGGACAAAAAATTCGTGTGCTTGGAGGAATGCATCAGGTTTATCGGCTCATTCTCACGCGTCTCCCAAACGGGCGCTGCTGCGGCGTCAAGCTCGTTGCTGTCAATAATTTCAAAATCGGCAAACGAAGGCAGCAGTGACATTCTCTCTGGACGACTCGCCTGCAACGCCCCTTCGCCCCCGGCGGCGTCAACGGCGGCGGGAGTGTCAATATCCAACACAGACTTGTCCAGCAGCCGATGAAGCCGATGCATGTAGTCCGGCGCGAGGTGGCACGTGACGGGCGCCCGTTTTCCCCTCTTGACGGACTTGGAGCGAAGGATGCACTCGAACCGTGAGCCACTCCGTTCCACAAGCAGATGGGGCGAGGGCAAATAGGCGAGGTCAAGGCCCCCCAAAAAGTGTGCGATCACCGTGCGAAAGTAGTAGAGGGAGTCGTAGGCAAAAAACATGGAGGCACGAAACTTCTGTAGCTCCACAAACACCGGCTTCTCGGCGGTTGGATTCACGAAGAGGGCGATGTTGGGCACCCTACTTCTTCCTGCATCAACCTCCCTCGCATCACCAACGCCGCCGCTCTGACCTCCTCCAGAGGAAGCGAGGTCCACGACGAGGACGAAGCCAATGTTTTTAAGGTCAGTCGCCACACCTCGTTCGCTGCTACCAAACAGGGAGCCAAGCCCCGCCTCCTGGTCGTAGTCAAGCAAGTACTGCTGAAAGTTGTCGTGAAGGAACACCGAGATCGTCTCCTTGTCGAGGTACACCTTCACCGCCGTGGCTTCCCTGGGCAAGCTTGGCACGGCGACGGTGACACTTAGGCGAGGGGCCAGGCAAACTAACATGGAGGACTTTCCAAACGGCCTGTACTCCACAAGAATGTCTCTGAGTGCGATGTTAACGTCGGCGGATGTTGCGATGGCAACACCCCCGTCACTCTGCGCCTCCTCCCGCTCGCCCACATGTGGTGTTGCTCCCATCACCTCCTTTTCTGCCACAGCCGCATTTAGTCCGTCGTCGCTGGGGTCGGAAAAGTAGTTCAAAAGCACCAACAGCCAGTGATCCCCTTCATGGGCAGTCTGGTGCGAGACACTAATGCGATCCAAATGAAGGGCAACGTCGTATGCCTCGGTGTGGTCCTCCACGTTGCGGTGGCGACACAGCGAGACACCGGCTGCGTGACGAGTCCGCGAGGACTCCGTGGAACTCGCGCAGGGTGGCCGCACGCGAATGTTGTGCGAGCGATTGTAGAGGGCCGAGTAACTTTGAAGCAGCGTGGCAACGCCGCCCCACTTGGGGGAGGAGGCGTGTTCGGCAGGCCACGGGAAGTCAACGTACGTCATTTTTGACTGACATAACCGCTCCCGCAAGCAAAAGTCGGACGCCTTCCCATGCAGTGCCGTCTTCGCCAGGCGCATCGAGGCCTGGTGAAGGACAAAAACAGAAACCTTCGAAACCAGCACGTCGTAAAGGTGGTACAGGTGCTCCTTGTCGATCCCGCGCCGCTCCTCCTGCGGAATGCAGCGCCAGAGCGGGTCACCAATAGGACACCCTGCGGAGGAAAGCCGCGGGGCCCGAAGTAGCATCGCAACCTCTTCAACGCCCAGTCGAACACTGATACTAGTGGTGAGGGGGTCATACTCCGTACCGCTGTGTTGCAGTGGCCCCTCAAATCTGTTGAAAGTGCCGGAGAGAGCAGACTTGAACCCATATGCCGTCTCTTCCAGCGACGCGTACGCGACGCTCTCTCCGCACTTGCACGGAGCATGTATGACGGTGCACATGGCATCCACCATCTCCAGCACCTGATCCAAGTAGAAAAGGACAAGCAGGTACTCATCTTGATGAAGTTGAGCCTGAATCTGCCGAATATTCGCCACCACCGCAATAAGACTGTTGTTTTCAGCCTGAGTCTCCTCTTTATTGTAGGCCTCAGTGAAGGGGGCGTGCGCCTTGTCCGCGACGCTCCATTCTGTGTCTGAGTTCTGGGGTTGCCGTTGTCGCACAACGATGCAGGGCTCCTTGTTAGAGGTGTCAAACATGCAGCGGACAATGGTGTTCTGCACGCGCTCCTTGTAGTCGTGTAGGGTGAGCTGTCCCTCATCCAGAAACAGCTCCAGCACCCCTTCGCTGCCCAGCGAGACATCAAGCGCCTTCAGGTACACACTCATCGTCAAGGGAAGGTAGGGCCCACCAACGCCGGAAAACTTTGCCTGGTCGGTGGCAGCAGCCGACGCGGCCTCTGCCTCCTTCCGCAAGTGCTCCCACAAGCGTTTGGCCAAAGGGCCGTAGTAGTCGGGGTCGGGTGCCTTGGATGCTGGAAACCGCGCCTCCAACGTGAGTCCCTCCAGTTGGAGCGTAAAAAAGCGCAGCAAGACATACGGCGTCGTCACCTGCGTCTCCAGGGAACAACCCCCAGAGCCCTCGCCTATTAATTGCTCCAGTGGCAGCTGCGTAAATTGTCCCTCGCCCAAAGGCCTCTCAAAGCTTTCCAAGTCCTCCTGCGAGCCTTGACGCAAGGCCACGAATGCGGGTGACGGCAAACCGGAAACGTCCGTGGTCGGTTGCTGCTGCTGCGACGAGACAGTTGCGCCAGGGATCATGTCCATGGTGTGACGCAGGCGCGCCCAGAAGGCCCCCAGCCTTTTAAGGGTGCCCGCGTCCAACTCCGCCAGCAGCACCGCCCCCGAGGTCTTCACAAGAACGTGCTCCATCACAACGGCGGCCACGTTGTCCTGCTCCTTCAGCAGGTCAACGCTATACCAGCGCGCCTCCGCAAGCGTCAGCGGGTAGGTGGTCCTCGCAACAATGGCGACGCGGTACCGCCGCTCCGAGTAATTGTCAACGTTTTCCTTGGTGGTCAAGATGAGTCGACCGCCCTCCGCGTCACTGGGGTGATCCTCGCCGCTGCTTTTGGGGGCCAGTTCATAGACTTCAATGGTGCTGATCCCGGCGGAGCAGCCACGGCCACCGTGGTTCTCAAACACGTCATGAAACGCATCCTCAGAGCGGCTTGTGCTCGCCGTAACTGGCTGAACCAACAGCATGATCCCGCCGACGTGCACGTTGTAGTACCCCGTGCGGCGGAGCAAACGGTGCAGCACAAGTCGATGGCCCCGCGAAGACAGGGGCGCACCGTGAGCAGAAGCCGCAGTCTCGCCCTGCTGCAGGCTTTGCCAAAACTTTTTTATCCCCTGACGATCTTCATCAAGAAGGAACGCGCAGAAAACGTACTGGCACGTCGCTTTCATGGTTGTAATGAACCGCATCACACGAGGAGCGGCCGCGGCCTCCATTTCCCCCTCCGGTGCTCCCACCAGGGCGCGGGCGACGTGCACCAGGCGACCCAACTGCGTCGGAGTAAGGATAAAGAAAAAGGACTTCGTTGTGACCTTCAAGTCCAACAGCGCCTCCGCCCCCTGCGCCGGGCTTCGGCCTTCGCTAAAGCGAAGCACAATGTCGTTGTTGAACTCGTCTGTGCGCCCACCGCAGAGAAAAACGTCGGCGAGGTCAACAGACTCCTCCACTTCCTCCTCGGTGGTGCGCATCGTGCATCGCTGCCCGTAGGGGTACACGGCCGCGCGGACACCGGAGAAGCGGATGCGCTTATGCACCAAATCCCCAGCCGGATCGGAGCACATGTCCTCCAGCTCAAAGCCGCCTTCGAAGAAGACAAGCAGCTCCAAGCTGCCATCCGGGGGTTCTCGCCCCGGCAGAATTCGCTCGCCCAGCGGCGGGATCCGCAAGATGACGCTGACGTTCCGTATGCACCCCCGCACGCTGTGAGCAAACTGCTTGATTGTTCGCTCAAACACATCCAGCCCCTCATCAATGTGGCGAGAGGGCGAAGACGGCCCTGCGGAGTACCCCGTTTCACTTAATGCAGGGCGCACCACACTCTCCTCCACCCCTTTGCGCAGAGTATCACTCATGAAGAGGGAGGAGTAGATAGTATCGTCCTCTGCGCCACTATTCTCGTCCTCCCAGCCGCTCCTTGGGCCAGTTGCACGTTTCTCACAACTACGCCGATCCCTCGTCTCCCTCTTGTGACTCGCACTGCGGCTCTGGCACGCTGTCGGCACAGAACACTCTGTCTTCGGAACAACATCCAAGACAAGTTGCAGGCCGTCAATCTCAATGGTGCGTTGTCCTTTAGGACCCAAGGCAAAATCCCCGCGAATACTGTTTACATGGCCTCGCACCAAACGCACTGACGCAGACGCACCTGACTGTGCGGGGCTCGCCCCCTCCGCTGGGACGTCCAGGAGTTCCTTGTTAATAAACGCCTCGTTCAGCTCAAGCCGGGAGAGCTCAAAGCTGAACCCCAGGCAGCTCTCCGAGCGACCAATGCGCTCCAGCTGGTCGCTCTGAATGTCCTTCACGAGGCTGCCGAGCAGCTGCCGCACGGCGAGCAGGAGCATTCGGCTCCTTACCGCCTCCATGGCTGTCGGGGCGTGGGGTGCAGTGAGAAGATTCCCCCGCCCACAGGCCCGGCCGATTCCCCCTCAACCCTGTTCTTCCGCCAGGGGGAGGACGCACACCACAGGCTAAGAGAAGCGGAAAAAAAAGCAAAGCAAAGAAACAAAAATGGAAAAATAAAAGATGAAAAAACTGACGCAAGTCACACACACACACACACACCTGAACCAAGAAGAAATATCTTTTTTTATTGTATGTGAATGTGTGTGCGTGTCCGTAACAAAACAACTTGTTTTTTTTTTTTCACTCCCCTCCCTCTTTTTTTCGCTCCCTCCCAGCTTTAAATGCTTTCGATTTTGTTCCGCACAGAATTGGTGGGGCAAATAAAACAGGAGAGACGTAATGAGGAAGAAAAAAAAAGAGGAAGCGGCGAGAAAACGAAGAAAAAGAAATGGCAATAAAACACACCCACGAGAAATCACAGACAGACACCCATGCAAAGCGTTATAGGCGGGGATGGTAATAAAGTCAATGAAAAACAGCCCCGCAGAAGGGGCCAGCGGCAGAATAGGGCTTGCCGTTCTTGAGGATGTCTGTGTGACGGCCGCAGCTCGCAAAGGACACCTGCCTACTTGAGTCGCGGAATCTTCCTCCCGGACGATTGAAGCGGCAAGGGCTCCGACGCGGCGTTTACCGAACGTGCGCTGCAGGTGATGATGAAGTGCCGCACTTGAACCCGCAGCGGAGGCGTCACTGGCGCATTCTTTCCAGGCGGCGGCGTCACTTGTGCCTGCAAGCACCACTGCAGGGCTTCAAGGGGCTCCACGCGGGCATGACGCCGAAGGACGTTCACTGGTTCCTCTTGCTCGACTGTTTCCCCCAACTGTGCCGGTAGGCTTCCAATTCTCGGCATGTGGCGGAACCGGGGTGTTTTGCCGGAGAGTAGCTGGTACTCTGGCAGGGCCCGGTACGCCGCGGCGAGCTGTGCGGGCGTCGCAGCGTACTCGGAGGTAAACCACCGCCGCTTCGTGGATCGGAAGGGAAAATACATGTCGGCGTGTCCCACATCCAGGCTGCTGCTAGTGTCAAGCGCCCGCTCCAGCGCCGCGCCATGCTCCTGCAACTCCGTCTGCTGCGCCGCTTCGCGAGCTGTGCGTTGCAGATCCTCCATGAAGTCCTCCGCGTCCCTTCGCGCCGGTTCTGGCGCCACCACGGCAACGCGAGTCGCGTAGCCCATGACCGCCACAACCCCGTGGGGGGCTAGACAGCGGTGGGCAAGCGAAATATGCCACGGCGCGTCGTGCAGCATCTCCTCCCCAAACACGTTTGCCGCAAACACCACAAGGTCAAGGGACTGCGGCGGCATGTTCTCTAGCGGCGACGCCAGTGCGGGCAGCACCTTAGATGTCACCGCCGTGGTCGTCGTGCCCTTCTCACGTGGCGACGCCGCCGATTCGGCGGGCTGGGAGCCACTCCAGACGCGTCTCCGCAGGGGTGCAAGATGCGCCGTCGGCAGGTGTTCCCGGGCACGCCCCAGCAACGACTTCGCGCGTTCCTTCGACATCGTCGAAGGGTACACCACCATGCATCGCTGATAGAAAGGCACGGCGTCCGACAACGCCGCCAACCAAACGTCAACCGGCTCCGGATAAAACGCGGGAGCCCCCCTGTGATAGCCGTGAAGGGCGGGACCAAAGGCGGAGACCAACCCGCCAAGAGTCCGACCGCCAGACGTGGTGGAAGGCCGCAACGGCATTTTTCATTCCTGTCAGTGAGGTTAAAACCCAGACGAAAAAGAAAAAAGCAAACACTACACAGTCATAAAATTACACACGGAATAGAAAATACAGAGCGATTATTTCCAAGCCTACAGCAAAATGCTTTCAAGGAAAAAAACTCCAACAGCAGCGCTTGTTCTAGGACATACATTGCGGCTGCTACAACACATGCAAGAAGTTCTCTAAATAATAATAAAAAAGAGGCCCTCAGCGCATAAATATTCCTCTTTTATGTGGTTTTCTTAATATTTGCGGCAAGCCAGTCCAGGCCCTCGTACAGGCCCTGGGCCGAGGTGGCGCAACATCCCTGAATATACCAGTTGCGCTGCCGCACCGACTGCAGTCCGAGCTTTTCCGTCACCTCTGTCGTGCTCATGGCGTTGGGCAAGTCCTGCTTGTTTGCAAATACGAGGAGAATGGAGTTGCGCAGCTCGTCCTCTGTAAGCATCTTCTCCAGCTCCTGTCGCGCCTTGCCAATGCGTTCCCTATCGTTGGAGTCCACGACGAAGATGAGGCCGTTGGTGTTTTGGTAGTAGTGGCGCCACAGCGGGCGCAGGACGTCCTGGCCGCCGACGTCCCACATGGTGAACTTGAGGTTCTTGTACTCCACCGTCTCCACGTTGAACCCAATCGTGG